CTTGGGGCTTGGTCAGCAAGTGCCAGTGCCATTGGCTGCAGACCTGCAGCTGGCTCTGGGGGGTCACTGTCTGAGTGGGTGTGGCTTTGTAACGGGGCCACAGTAACCAAATCCCTCCCATCACAGATACTCTGACTCACAGAGGATCTTGGGAACACTTGGTTGTTGAGCTGTCTTGTGCTGGCAGAGAGGCATGTGTGGTATATCCCCAGTCCAGGCAGGTCTCAAGATAGAGCTGCTGCTGACACACTTGGGTGGGCCTGCATTCCTGGCAGACAGGATGGTTGGACAGAATGAAGTCTAGAGGCTGTTGGGACATGGACAAGGCAAACCATGGCTTTCTGTGGCTGCTCCTCTGGCCTTTGCTGCAGTCAAGGGGTGTCTACTCTTGCCCTCCATAGCTGCCCTCAGGTTTTTCCTGGAGACTAGACTAGACTCTGGTACCTGTCCTGGCCTCTCCCAAAGGGCTCTTAGGAGTGTACATACTTAAGGACTGGGCATGAGAAGGAAGTGGATGGAGCCTCAGCCTGGAACCCTCAGAGGAGGGATCGGTCAGAACTTGCTCACCGTTCCTTCCTAGGCTTGCCTGTCGTGCATGAATCATAAAACAGCTTTCTAACTGGCTGTCTCCCTGCCTTTACTTGGGTGGAGACACAAATCCTCCCTGATAGGTAAAACACAGTGTAAGGCTCTCTGTGGCCTAGATGAAGATAAAGCCTTAGAGTACCTCAGCAAGGGCCCACTTTCCTCTCTGCCTGTGAACTGGCCCACCTCTGTCTCTGTTTTGAATTCTTGTAATTTTGAAAATGTTCCTATTTCTTCACAGCCTTTACAGATAGTCTTCCCATCTGATGCCTTTCTGCACGCATGCCCCACCCCCCCTCCCAGAGTCCGTTCTCATCTGCAGCCTCTCAGTCATTTAGAGATTGGAGCTATTTTTGGCCTCTCTTCTTTCTTCCTGTTTCTCCCTCTAATTAGGAAAGGGTAACTGTAAGTCTTGTCTACCAATGTGAGATGGGAGAAGAAGCCAACTTTTAAAAACTGAATCATGCTGGACATGGTGGTGGGGCATGCCGTTAATCCCAACACTCAGTCTCTGTGATTTTGAGGCCAGCTGGGTCTACACAGTAAGATCCTGTCTCAAAATACCCAAAACAGACAAAAAAAAAAAAAAAGTTGAGTCACTTTTTAAAGAGAAACTTGTTTTGGTGGGAAGCTCCCCTTCCCCAGACTCTGTGCGTCCCTACACTTTACCTGGGTCTAAAGGTCTCACTTTCTTCTGCTGCTGGAGTCTTAATCATGTGAGCCACAGGCTAACTCAGGTAAAGCCGAATCCCTTTTAGAAATTCCCTGTCAGAGAAGCAGGAATTGAGGAGGACTCTTTTTTTTTTTTAAGATTTATTTATTTATTATATATACATATTCTGTCTGCATGTCTGCCTGCAGTCCAGAAGAGGGCACCAGATCTCATTACAGATGGTTGTGAGCCACCATGCGGTTGCTGGGAATTGAACTCAGACCTCTGGAAGAGCAGACAGTACTTTTAACCCCTGAGCCATCTCTCCAGCCCCGAGGAGGACTCTTGAAGCTGGTAAAAAGGCCAGAAAGTAAACACTAGAGAAGACAGAGTCTCCAGGAGTGTTGGAAAGCAGCCACAGGACTCAAGAATCATTTTGATAGTTCCAGAAGGATGAAAAACCTGCTTCCATAATTGTGGTAGTAGCTGAACTGTCACTAGGTCAGGTACTTTCATGCCCTGTTTGATTTATTACAACTCACCTGGCATCATACCCGTGTGACAAGGCAGGAAACCAAGGCCAGAGGTAGGATTTGCCCATTCACTTAGCTACAAGTGGAGAGCCTGGAGTGAAGGTGTGTGCGGCCCATTAGGTGCTTGAGAAATCTGCACTTGAGTGAATGAAGTAGCAGAAGGTTTGTGTGAGAAGGGGTGGGAATGAGGCTTGGGGGAAGGGTCTTCATACCTCTGGGGAGGTGGAGTACAGTTTAGAAAAAGGTAATTGGAAGTGTGGTAGCATGGGCCTTTAATCCCAGCACTCAGGAGGCAGAGGCAGGTCAATCTCTGAGTTTGAGGCCAGTGTGGTCTACAGAGCAAGTTCTAGGGCAGCCAAGACTACATGGAGAAACCCTGTCTCAAAGGAAACAAGCAAAAAGAAAAAAAGAAAGAGAGAGGGAGGGAGGGAAGGAGGGAGGGAGGGAGAGAGGGAGGGAGGGAGGGAGGGAGGGAGGGAGGGAGGGAGGGAGGGAGGGAGGGAGGAAGGAAAGAAAGAAAGAAAGAAAGAAAAAGAAAGAAAGAAAGAAAGAAAGAAAGAAAGAAAGAAAGAAAGAAAGAAAGATAATTGGGTTGGCCATGCTGTCTTTCTTACCAAGAAAGGTAAGCATTTTACCAAAAGAAACTTAGAAAATACTTGACTTTTCTGCAGTCTCAAGAGAGGAAGAGGAAGGCTCACACACACACACACACACACACACACACACACACACACACACACACACACTCTACCCATTTTCCTGTTTCAGGTTCCTAGTGGGCCACAGCACACCTGCTAGCATGTACCGTGTACTTCCTTTCTTCCTGGTTCATATAGGTCACACTAGTTGGAAAGGAGGCATAGGAGGAAGAATGTGGTTCAGGTTATTTAGAAAATTGTCTGACCAGTTCTAAATGTGGTCCAGACACCAGGGTCCCTTCTGAGTTGAAGGAGGTCTGTCACACTCTCCTCAGGGAACCGGGCTCAAGCAGGTCAGCTGGGACTTCTCCACGTTGCGATTGTTTATGGCCTATGGTTCCACATTCTTAGCTCCTAGAAAGTGTACACTGCTAGTCTCAGGCCGTGCTTAGACCAAACGTCATTGCCAGCAGGTCCTGTGGTACAGAGAAGGCCGTGAGGGACCTCCACCCCAGATCATGGGAGTATACCCTTAGAGTATACTGTAGAGGGCTTAGAGGCTTTGAGAATCCGTCTCTTTCACTTGTTAGAAAAGTCATCATGGAGCTTTGTGTTCCAGAGTGTAATTTGGGTTGGGACAGTGGTTGTTAAAAGATTGTCAGGATGATCAAGCCATGCACCACAAGGGTAGAAACAATTACTTTGTGCCTTGCATATGACATCCCCCGTGGACATTAGCAGTATGTTGTCACAATAACAGTTGTTCCAATAACTTCGTAGTTTTCCTATTCAGTTTCTACTGTTTGGACTTTTTGCCCCATGGCTTACCTGGAATTAATGGAACCCAGAATTTCCAGTCAAGTCTCTGTGGAAGAGCAACCAAAGAACACATTCCTTTGGCGAAGCTTTCTCTTGTTATGCACGGTTGAAGGGCTTTGTTAGGGCTGGAGAAAGGAGCTCTGTGTGCTGAGTGCTTTCTTCACTCATTCATTGTTTTCTGACTTCCTGGTTCCTGCCTTTCTCCAAGTAGTTTGTTTCTGTGTTATCTACCTGATGGGCAGCCTGTGGAGTACCAGTTTCCAAGTTTTCATCCAGGCACGGGGGAGAGTTTTCACCTATGGACTCCAGGCCCTTGTGGGACAGTAATACTCAAAGTGGAGGCCCCTTTCTCTTGATTTCAAGAGTTTCAGGGAAAAGAGCCTCAGTAAGTGAGGATTCCAAAGTGTGGGGCCTTCACTGCTTCATGGCACTACTATGAGGTTGGCATGAAAGCACATGTTCAGGAATGGCTTTGTAAGCTGCTAAGTGTAAAGGGCAGCAGGGTCGATGTGGGACCATCTCTGCTAACGTTAGGTCTCAGGAGTTGGTAAGAGCAGATACCCCTGGAGGAACCTACAAAGAGCTACTTTGGTTGGAACTTTACAGAAAGTGCCACCATCTGCCTTTGTACATTGAAACTGGTTTATCAGTCTCTCCATCCGTCCAATCTAATCTATCCATCCATCATATCCGTCTGTCCATCCATCCATCTATCCATCATCCATCCATCCATCCATCCATCCATCCATCCTTCCATCAAACTTGACAGCAACTATTATTACATTTTTATGTTATGACAGTGGGGCACTAGGTGAATAAAAAGCAGAAGTGTAAGTTCTTTAGCACACTTATATTTTCATGGATAATACTGGAAATAAACAAGGTAAGTCATGAAAATATGAAGGACTTGGGCCCATCAGCTAGACCTAAGCAGGCGCTTTGCTCTAACTCTGTCATGTGTATCCAACTGCTTCCTGCTATACACTGTTGGTATTAGGAGGGCGAGGATTGAGTGGGCCTCACCACGTCCCTGCAGCGTCTAGTTGATGATCTGATAGCTGTGTAGAAGTTAAAAAAAATGACAGGCTGTGATAGAGAGTGGAGGTGAAGAGACACCTCATTTTCACTCGTTCCTGTGTTTCCTTCCTGGAGTCTATTTGTAATAATGTAATAATATAAATAACATCTGACATATGTTTAAATGCCTTTTCACCTTTTCTTTTAGAGCTACACACACACACACACACACACACACACACACACACACACACACACACACACTGTAAAACAGTCTTACTGTATTCCAAGCTGCTCTGGAATTTTCTATTTAGTCCTGGCTTGTCTCAGCCTCACAATCTACATCCTTCAAGCTCCTGGGTACTGGGTTACATGTGTGTGCCACCACACCTGACCCTTGTTTTTTTTTTTAGCAGCAGCTCTGTTCCATTATGTGGCTGAGCATGACTTGTTGAACCAGTTCCCCAGGGATGCTTATGTAACTGTTTGCAATCTGCTGTTGTGATGCACACTTCACAGTGGACAAAATTATTCAGTTTGTCACATACATGTAAGCCCTTCTCCCGAACAGGTTCCTGGAAATGGGATTGTTGACTCGGAGAGTTGACACTCAGGATTGATTTGTGCAGTAAGGGCAGAAAAATGAAGTCCGCCAGTGAACTAATGACCATGTGTAGCAGACAAGTCACTGATCCTTTTGAGTTTTCTCTTCCAAGGTCTTGTGGCATCTGATACTACTTCTTGTTTCTGCCCCAGGCTGGAGACACCATGTTCAATCGAGCTAAGCTCCTCAACATTGGCTTTCAAGAGGCCTTGAAGGACTATGACTACAACTGCTTTGTGTTCAGTGATGTGGACCTCATTCCGATGGACGACCATAATGCCTACAGGTGTTTTTCACAGCCACGGCACATTTCTGTTGCAATGGACAAGTTTGGGTTTAGGTAAGACATACTCAGCAAGAGTCTGCCACAGACCTGCTGCATTTTAGGTGTGGTCTAGAAAATGTAGTTCTTCCATAGTGCCGCTCAGCTCTGCAGGAGAACGCTACCTCTGAGACATGGTTGCTTTTTTAAAAGTCTGCAGTCATTTATAGATGGAGAAGGAACTAATCCAGCAGTGTCTTTAGTTACTGTGTATCCTGATAACAGGTCTTAGTGTTCAGCATGGCTCTTACCTTTGGGCTCCCAACAGTGCCTGGCTTTCCTCACCTTCTGGCCTCCCCTGCCCCACAGTTTGGGAAGCAAAGTGGACCCTCAAAATACACACTGAGTCTAGAGATTGGGTATCTTGGCGGATGTCCCTCAGCATCGTCAAAGAAATATGGTTCTGTTTCCAAGAAGAACACGGGCTTCCGCTCATACATGGGGCTTGAACTTTTCTCTCAGAGTGCTAGTGAGGAGGCCAAATATTCCTGTCCATAGGGGCAGCAGTGTGATCCAGACCTTACTGGCACATATAGAACATAGCCATACAGTCAGTTGTTTAGTCTTAAAAGTCAAAGGGCCAGGCATAGTATATGTGTATATAAAGTATATACCTTTAATCCCAGCACTCCAGAGGCGGAGACAGGTGGATCTCCACAGTTCGAGGCTAGCCTGGCTACATACTGAGTTCTAGGACAGCCAGAGCTTCATAGTAAGACCCTGCCTTTAAAAAAAACAGGGAGGAGGGCTGGCTGGAGAGATGGCTCAGCGGTTAAGAGCACTGGCTGCTCTTCTAGGGGATCCGGCTTTAATTCCCAACACCCACATGGCAGCTCACAACTGCCTGTAACTCCATCCAGTTCCAGGGGTCTGACAACCTCACAGACATACACGCAGGCAAAGGGTAAAAAAATCAAAGTCAGTAAGTAAATAAATGTGTGTTTTTGTTTCACAATTGACATCCTTGTTTGCATTAAACATAGAAATGCTTTTGAATTACTCATATTTGAAAAGCATTATCTTTCCCTTCCTTAAGTAAACCTGAGGCTCCAGGAATCTGTACTGCAGCTACCTGGGTTTAGGTTGGGTCCAAGTGTACTTGGCCTGTGCAAATAGCCTCTGTGTGAATACGGCCGCCCTTCCGAGCCAGTGAAGTGTTCTGTCCCTGTAATTGTAACAACTGGGAGACTGAGGTTGGGAGGGTCATCTGTCCAAAGATTTCTGGGCGACTTAGCGAGTGAGCACATACACAGGCACACACTTGAATGTGTGATGGGGAGGGGTCCAAATTCCAAGCATTGTGGCACATACTGTAACCTTAGCACTTGAGAGGCCAACTAAGGTAGGAGAATTGTGAGTTCAAGGCTAGCCTGGGATATAAAGTGAGACCCTTTGTCCACAAACGACTTCCTCTCCCAAAAGACAAGGAACCACTACTGATCTTCAGTTGTGTGTGTTCTGTGTGGTTTGGCTGGCATTTTCCTCAGTTTATGTGATGGTTCTCAGGCTCTTTGGAGTCTAGTAGGAACCTAAGTGTTGTTTGGAGTTGTACGTAGGGTAACAGGAAACTGAAGCCTTTCGAGGGCCCTTGGACAGACCTTTGCCTTTGGGGCAGTCGATCCTTCCTAATCATCAAGATGTTAAAATATAAAAGGGTATAGAAGGACAAGAGCTCCCAGTGTCCCGTGTGGGAATCTGTCGGAGTCCAGCTCCGACCTGTGAAGGGTTCTTGCGGGGAGGAGAGAGGAATGAGGAAATGATAGATAGAAATATAGATGGAGACGATAAGAAAGGATGGCTTTGGGAGGACCCTGGATCAATACCCAGTCACCTCGAGGTTTATGCCAAAGGGCTCTTTATACAATGCCAAGGAGAGAGGCAGAAGACCTCCCCCTTTCAAAATAAAAGCACAGCCAAGTGCAGACACTTCAAAACACCTGGTTAACTACACCCGTGGCCAAATCATCCCATTATGCAGCCCTGCTGGGTAAAGCAAGCTCAGATTCTCTGACCCTGAGTAAAGTCTCACTAGGCAGTCTCTGTGGACCCCCACAGTCCCAGTACTTGGAAATATGGAAAAGTAGGTTCATATCTTACTAAATCGGTAAGGTAGAAAATTTGAGGCAGTTTCCAGGGATGTAGCTGCCATTGTTAGGGTTAGTGTTCAACCCTTATGCCTTTGGGAGAAAGAGATTGGCAGATAGGAAGAACAAAGCATGGCGTGACAGTGGGCAGGGCCACCTGAATGAGGACTTCTTTGCAGGAACAAGGTACACAGAAAGCAGATTCCAGAGCCACAGTAGAAGAACTGCTTAGCCTCCCTGTAACTGACCTGTTTTCTAGATAACCATAGGTACAGTACTGTACTCTTAGAAAAAAAGATTCTGCATATCTGTGTGTCTCTAAGATAATCTGAACACTGATGTAAAAGCAAATTAAACATCAAAAGGAACTGTTTCGGTTCAGGGCTGGATTTGGAAAGATGGTGAGCAAATAAACTGCCTTTTAAAGTGGGGACGGGGAAGCAAATTAAACAGATTTTCTCCCAGTGCCTATGATAAAAACTTCAAAAATATTCATGTGGCCAGGTGCTTTTAGTCCTAGCACTTGGGAGAGAAGTGGGCAGATCTCTGTGAGTTCAAGGCCAGCCTGATCTACATAGTGAGTTGTAGGCCATCCAGGGATACACAGCCCTTGTCTCAAATGGACAGGAAAAAGTTGGTGTATTCCAGCCATTACTTGGGGTCAGAGCTTACTAACCATGGGGCTCTGCGTATGTGTTTCTTCCCCAGCCTGCCGTACGTTCAGTATTTCGGAGGTGTCTCTGCTCTCAGTAAACAACAGTTTCTTGCCATCAATGGATTTCCTAATAATTATTGGGGCTGGGGAGGAGAAGACGATGACATTTTTAACAGGTAATGCCTATGGTTCCTATCTCTTTCTGGTCTCTTGGCCTCCGCTGCCAGTTTTTAGGTTTTTTTTTTTTTAAGGTTTATTTGTTTGTTTGTTTATTATTATTATTTATACAGTGTTCTACCTGCATGTATGCCTGCACACCACACCAGAAGAGGGCATCAGATCTCATTATATGGTTGTGAGCCACCATGTGGGTGCTGGGAATTGAACTCAGGACCTCTGGAAAAGCAGCCAGTGCTCTTAACCTCTGAGCCATCTCTCGCTTCCAGTTTTGAGGCAGTGCTTGCTCTTTCTGGAAGGACTGGCACCCAGAAGGGAGCAGTCCCCACCCAGCCCCTGTGCTTAGATCCGTGCTCTTGTAGGTCCTACAGGTGTTAGCAGAGTCTCTAGGAAAAGAGCCTCTGGGATTTTCAGAACAGCTTTGGGAAATGTAAGATGGCAGCAGGATGGAGGGGCAGGTTGACTTTGACTTCCTACCTGGGCTTTCTGTGTCCCATGTGAAAGTGCCGAGGAGATGGCCCAGTGGGTAAAGCATTTCCCTTGCAAGCTTGAGAGCTTGAACCTCAGAAGCCATGCAAAGCCAGATGTGGCAGTGAGTGCATTTGTGACCCCAGCACTTTAGTGAGATGGGGCATGGGGGCAGGAGGGGCCCCAGACTTGAAGGTCTCCTTTGAAAAGAAGACTTGCACCTCACTGTGGTTCCTTTTTGGTGTAAAGCAAGTTTCCTCCCACAGAATCTTTGTGCCATGTTTTTATTTTGGGATATTTTAGCCACAAATAGGAGAAGACAGAGTAGGGCTGGAGTGGTGGCTCAGCAGTTGAAAGCACATACCACTTTTGCAGAGAACTCAGGTTTTGTTCCCAGCACCCATCTTAGGCTCAGCTGTCTCACAACTGCCTGTAACTCCAGCTCCTGAGGATCCAATGCCCTTTTCTGAAGTCTGCAGGCATTTGCACTCAGATGTGCGCACACGCGCACGCACACATGCATGCACATATTTAAAAATAAAATACATCAGCCGGGCATGGTGGAGCACTCAGGAGGCAGAGGCAGGCAGATCTCTGTGAGTTTGAGGCCAGTCTGGTCTGCAGAGTGAGTTCCAGGGCAGCCAGAGCTACATAGTGAAACCCTTTCTGAGCTTGTGTGGAACCTGTCCATGCTCATTATACTGTGGCCAGTCTTACCACATCCACATCCCCAGACACTTTAAAAACTGGCAGAGCTGTCTCCTGTAGGTTGCAGGTGGCAAAACCCATCTGGGAGCCAGTCTGAACTCATTACCTGAATTGGGATACATTTGATGAGTTAACAGAAGGTGTCTGTCAGAACACCATCCATGCCATTCAAGGTTACCGCTATGTGAGAACTTGCCAAAGCTCCAGATCCTTATAAGGGCCTTGGAAAAAACTTGAGTATTAGAGTGTGCAAGCTGGTTATCAAGCATGCACATGTGAGTATCTATTGCACACAGAGCACAGCAAGGCCCATCCGATGGGCAGGGAAGATGCTAAGAACCTTGACCCAGGGTTCAGACACACATGCCTGCTTCCACAGAACCTTCCAGGGCTGATGGTGTACCACAGGCCTGAGTGGTCAGAAGGGTTGGGGAGGGAGGAGGCATTGGGGGCAGGACTAGAAAGATGGGTAGTACATGGATGGAGTTGCTCTCCAAGAGATAAAGGCTTTATGCATCTGCTTACTGTTTGCCAGACGCTGACACGAACCCACAGGGAAAACATTGCCAGAACGTGCAACTCATCCAGATCGGCTGGTCTTCCCCTAACTTGGATATTTGGTGCTTTGATTTGGGACCTTAATGAGGCGAACACTACACTTCGCAGAATCTGTCATTTCGGGATATTGGGAGGGAGTGTAAATTTTAACTAAAGTCTTCCCGGGCTGTGTCCCAGCAGATGCTGAGGGGTTAGGCTTAGCGAACAGCTTTTAGGTCCGTGGATGAGTCCACAGTCTTGCAGCTGGGCTACTAGACCGAAGCCTTATGACAGCTATGGTACTGACTGTCCCTTCACTCTTCACAGAATAGTCCATAAAGGCATGTCTGTATCACGCCCAAACGCTGTAGTTGGAAGGTGTCGCATGATACGACACTCAAGAGACAAGAAAAATGAGCCCAATCCTCAGAGGTATGTTCTGTGTGGGTCCTTTTTGTTTCTTTTTGTGTTAGATTTATTTGATTTTATGTATATGAGTGTTTTACCTGCATGTGAGTGTGTGCACTACATGTGTGCCTGCTGCCCTCGGAGGTCGAAGAGGTCATCTGGTTCTCTGGGACTGTGGTCCACCTTGTAGGTCTCATGAGTAGCCAGTGCCGTCTTTCCAGCTTCCTGTTCACTCCTCCTCATTCTTCCTCCTCTCAAATGGGGCAGGCTGTAAGTCAGAGGCTTTGCACGGGGCCCTGTTCCTCCAGTGAGGTGAGGTATTCCATCTGTGGTAGCCATGCTGGGCAAAGGCGTTGGTTGGGGAAGGTGTTCAGACATTGGCCAGTTTCTTAACATTCGTTTTAACCCTTCCCTCTCCACTTTTCTCCTGGTAGGTTTGACCGGATTGCGCACACAAAGGAAACTATGCGCTTTGATGGTTTGAACTCACTTGCCTACAAGGTGTTGACAGTACAAAGAGACCCATTATATACCATAATCACAGTGGACATCGGGACACCAAGATAGCATTTTGGAACAAATAAGAGACCTGAAAATGGCCAGGGACCTCCGATGTGTGTCTCTGCCAGTCGACTGGGCTGGTCCCTCTCATTTGTACAGTCTGAATGGTAGTTTTCCTTGCTATCATTCAGACACCTTTCCAGATGTCCAAGGTGAATGTAACATTTGCCCCCAGCCTGGCTCGGCACTGGATGAAATTCTACAAGGTGTTTATCAGTGTAAAAATGGTCAGCCTTTGGAGGCTTCTTGGACATGTCCATCGTGTCGTCTCCAAAGAGGCAGAACTGTACACAGATCAAAACCTAGTGACTGTGAGTCACATTCCCACTGCTGAGACTGCTAGATTATGAAATGGGTAAGAACTTTGCTTTAATCAGTGATGTCTATACTTCATGACAAATTGGAGACTGCTGCTGGATTCAGATTGATGTGATAATCTTGAATTTTTAATATAAAAAAATCAAAATTTCAATCAGTCTCATGTTCTGTCCCTGTCTTCTGTCCTCTCAGTGTATGCAACTATTACAATCACTGTGTGTGTGTGCTTTCTTAGCAAAAGAATTTTAAAACTTGAGCCTGGAGCTTGGTACTCTGTTAGTGTGTGGATTCCAAGGCTTGCACTCAGAGCAGGAGCTTGGGTACTCTCACTCACATGACCTGTCTCCAGATCCCTGTCTGATTTCTGAATGTAAAGTTTTGTTTTGGGGGGGTTGTTTATTTGTTTGTTTTTTAAGAAGCAGTTTGTAGTGTTTTAAAGAATAAATCGAGTGCTTCTAATTATGCTATAGCTTGATTTTATGTTGATCCAAATTGGAATAGCTATTGTTAAGTCATGACAATTTATTTTTCTAGGCATGCTATGTAAACTTGAATTTCCTATGTATTTTTCTTGTGGTATTTTAAATGTGGGGAAGGGATTGATTATTTTTTAGGGAGAAAAATAATGTATGCTGTAGTGGTCACAAATGAGCCTCTGATTTGGCTGGCAGGCCAGGTTTTACAAAGAGCAAAATTACCCTCAGGCCCCTTGATGAGGGCAAAGCATACAGGTCAGCATTATCCTGCCAGACCTCTGGGTCAGGAACTTGGGAGACAGCATCTGCCTACCTGGCAGAACTCTCCCTCCCCTCCCCCAGGTGGGCCGGGTGGAGGGGCCCTCAGCCTCCTAGAACTGACCCCTCAGGGCCCTAGGCTGTGGGGTTGAAAATCTCAGCAGTCAGTTGTTTACCATCCCCTCAGAGCCTAGTACCACACTCCCTGACCCACCCAAAGTCGCAGTTCTTTCTTTCCTCCTGCTCTTCCTTCTCCCTTTTCACTCCTTCACTTTCTTTCCTAAAATTTCCTGTGGCACTCAGGGTCAGACATCATTCTCCAGCATGATTGTGCCTTTTAATTAGAGGTCTAGAAAGTTCACCGGAACCCACACCCCGCTCTTCCTGAGAATCCTGGTGCCTATAAAGCCCCTCATCGCCACTCAGGGTTTTAGCAGGTGCTCCCGTTCCTCGATCTAACCCACGGGGGTCATTCACAAACTCACCTGTGCTGGTGTGCAGTGCCTGGGGTGACTCACCTGTGCTGATGTACAGTGCTGGGGGGGTGAGATAACCCGAGGCATTTAGACCATCAGGCTGGGAGGGCTTGTAAAGTACAGCCTGGGTTGAGATCCTAAGATTACAGTCTAGTGCCAGAACTAAGCCCTTTTCCTCGTGGCAGCCTGGTCTCCAGCTGAGTGTAGATGCTGAGCGGAGGGATGGCCCTGATCTTACCTGTGCCTTTATTGCTTTGAGCATCACAGTGTCTAACTTGCTGCTTTTTCCAGAAGCTTTTTTTAATGTGTGGGTTAGAAACTATTATCCCAGCCAAAGCAGGCAGGCTGTGTAAGATCTGTGCTCTCTCAATTCCCCATGCCTCTAGAAGGCCATTAAAACGGAGACTGGCTTTGGGGAAACGGAAAGGACTTTTTTCCTGTCCCCAGATCCTGACTTTTCCAAAGTGCCTTAAAGGAAGGGAGACATGCTGAGTGGTGTCTTCTGTGTCACCTCCTTTACTCCTAAAGCGAAACTGCCTCTTCTCTGTGCTGTTCCTCCTGGGTTTGTTCATGTCAAATATGTGGTTCATTCTCAGAACCAAGGGAAATGGTTTGGCCTGTTCCTCCACCTTCCAGCATTCTCTGGGACACAACTAAGATACTGTGGGGCCTGGGCATTTGCCTGGCCCAGGAGATACCATCGTTGTCAGCAGCTTCCCTGGGGGCTGGAGGGTTGAGGAGTCGGGGAACATTTCCTTCACCTGGGAGCTCGGACCCCGGTGTCACGTGCTGTGCCTTTCTCTGTCTATATTTTTGCTGGTGACCTGCGTAGAGTGTCCTTTGGGAAAGATCAGTGGCACAGGAAGGCAAAGGAAATGCTGTGCTGGCCTTCAGCCTGGCAGGGTCTGCACTGGCCACTGGGCTATTTTAGATACCTGTGATGCTGTGTATGTATTTTGACATCCCGTGTATGCAAATGTGTGTATTTACCAATGGGGCTGGGGGCGGGGGTGGGGGAGCTGTCTCTGACCTTGATGTTCAGAACAGACAACTGTATTTTTGCCTTTGAAATGCAGTAATATAACATGAATAAATGACCCTATCTTTGTAACCGTGGTTTCTCTTCTAATTTAAAGGGTTTGGGTAGTGGGGAGTGGGGGGGTGAGGGGGTGGGCAGGCTACACATGCCTCCCAGAAGTCACAAGTTTCCTCATTAGAATCTTCATTTTTCTTATCTGTAAGTGGGAATGATACCGTGTAAAGACTGTTTTAGGAGAGATGATATGTTTAAACTAATGACCAATACCTCACAGGTACTCACTCTATAGTATCTATTCCCAGTTCAAAATAAAATTGTCCCTAGCAGTTTTCTGACACAGTCTGCAATTCTCAACAGATGTCAGGATAGTTAAGGATGGATCTGAGAGCATTTGTGCAAGGGAGTCACAGTGTAGCTTCCATGCTCTTGTTCCATATAGACTTTCCTGCCAGCCCAGAAAGTTTAACCAGTGGCTTTAAACCAGTGTTACTGGAGTTGGGGGATCAGAACCTGAGTGCCACCAGTCCTCAATAAGCCAATTAAACAAGTCATAGTGAAAAAGCAGGAAATGGAGATTTATTCAGTGTGGGTACTTAAGAAGTTGTCCTGTGCCCCTCCCCCAAGTCTTTAGCATCCTAACATGTTTAGGTTTAAATAGAGGGCAGGAGACAGGCACTACAAAATAGTCCTTATCAAGGAGTGGTCCCGCCTATCACCATTGTCCTTGGCTCCAGTCTCTCAACTGTAGTGGTATTGTGTGGTATTCAGTGGTATTAAAATTCATGCCACACTCGTCATCTAACAAGATGCTAGCAGTGTGGGAAATCTCTTTCTAGGAGACAGTTTCCTCTCTGGCTGACAAGTTAGCTTTTCCTCCCAGCATGAGATTCCTGAGGAAATTCCAGTTCCCTGGGGGTGCATTGTCACGGCAGTGTGATCCCTAAAGGAAGGGGCAGAAGTGTCTCCTTCACTTTCTCTTAAGATTTGTTTCTATTTTGAATTGTGGTTCTATGTGTGGTTATGTGCACATGCGTGCAGGTGCCCGCAGAGGCCAGAAGAAGGCCTCATATCTCCTTGAGCTTGAGTTAGAGGAGGTTGTGAGCAGCCTGAAGTGGTTGATGGGAACCAAATTTGGGTCCTCTGCAGAAACAGTATGTGCTCTTAACCACTGAGCCATCTCTCTAGCTCCACCAGTGTCTCTAGAATATCTTCTTGCCCTGGAACTATTAGAAAAGCATCTTAGTTGTTACCGGGGTACTTGAAACAGTACATCCCAGGGGTGTCCTCTTTTATCCCATGTGTCAGGCACCACAGGCCGATTAGCTTGACCTGAAACAGGCCAAAGGTAGTCAGTGCGCGGGAGAGGCTGTTCTTGCTGTCCTACAAGAACGAGGCTAGGAAATTGGGCATCCTTTAGCCACCCCAAGGCCATCTGGGTTAGCTACACCACTGGAGGAATCTTTAGTGGTTTCTGGCCTAAGTATCCATGGGAAATATTCAGAGGTGACCTTCAGTCAGGGTGTACTTGGGTCTTCTGACAGTGCTCGTACCGAGTCTGATGAAAAAGCTGTGTTCTTCTCACACATCACTTCTCTCAGCTCTCCACATCTGATAGCAGGTGTATGGACTCTCCCTACCAACAGGCACTTCAGGAGAATGATTCCAGTGTAACTCATTCTATTACCGTCTGCCTGGAGCCAGAATTGCATGCCCCAGACTAAGGCCTCAACCACAAGATTGCCCTACCTCCAGCACCAATCGCAGGTTAGTTAACAGGTTGTGACCTGTTCTCCTGACCAGCTGCCTGTAGACTCCCAGGACCTTTACGGCAGCCTCAACTCCTTAGCCAGGATGACTCACAGGGCTTGGAGAAACATACATTTGCAGTTTATTATAAAATGATAGTTCTATCCAGGCCCGGTAGTTCAGGCCTGTAATCCTAGGCACTCAGAGCTGACAAAGAAGGATCACAAAAATTCTGGGCCTGCCTGAGCAAACTAGTGAGACACTGAAAAACACAGAAAGGGCGCTGTTGAAATTGTTTAGTAGAGCACTTGCCTTGCGTACGTGAGCCTCTGGGTTCAATCATAATCAATAGAAGTAGTAATAAAGGATATTGGGTCTGGGGAGATGGCTCCATGGATAAGGGCTTTCTATGCAGCCTGAGATCCTGAATTTGAATCCCCAGAATCCACGTAAAAAGCCAGGCACGCCTGTAACCTCAGGGATAGAGAGAAGAAAAAACCCAGTGTCCTCCTCTGGCCTTCTCTTGCTTGCACACACACACACACACACACACACACACACACACACACACACACACACACCCAGGGTCAGGCCTGTGGGAAGGGGAGGGGAACTCCATGAAAGGATAAATAAATTTAAAAAAAGGCAAAGTGGGTACCTTTCGGCAGGCCCTGCCAAGGTATACCAGTAAGCAAACACACCATGAGTTAGGCAAGAGGTTTATAGGGGGAGGGGAGAGTGAAAGAGCAAAAGGCCACGTCAGAGTAAGGACAGGAGAGAGGCAAGCAGACAGACAGACGGACGAGAGGAAGAAGAGAGACAAGAGCAAGAGGCAAGAGAGAAAAGAGGAGGCATAGAGGGATGAAGAGGCAAGAGAGGTGGACTAGGCAAGAGGGCGAGCTGTGCCTGGCGGGCACTTTTACCGGGTGCACATGTCGCATAGTTGATGGAAAGGAACCGGGCAACAAGTGATGATGTAACTGCTTCAGTGGCAGAGGCAGGCTGCTGCGGTAGAAGCTAACATCCTGTGCCTTCTCTGAATGCACCCCCAGACACCTCCCTGTGTTGCCTGTCCAGAGGTGCACCCAAACACTGCTCTTTTGGGGAGTCTTCATCTTGTGATGCTGATTACAAACATGAAACCATTTGTGATCTGCCAAACCTTTAGCCCATCGTCACTCATGGTGTGACTGGGCTGGGGAGGCTGCAAGTTCCTAGTTTCTCCTCGTGCTTTTTGTCTTCCTAGTGGCCAGCTTCCATCCAGGAGTCCACCAGGAGTCACCTTACTAGAACAAAGGACATGGCTGTCCTGAAGGAGAGTCCAAGGAATGTGTGCCAGGAGCAAAGCCAAATGTGAGATCAAAAGATTCTAGCAGTGCTATTGCTAAGAAAGGTAGAAAAGGTTTTTTCAAGACAGGGTTTCTCTGTGTAGCTTTGGAGCCTGTCCTGGAACTCGCTCTGTAGACC